CATTATGGTTGGTACTCTTGCAGGAGGAGGTTCTGCTGGGACCATGAACTGGGCAGGGCTGCGAGCTCCCCCAGGGCAGTGTCCTGTCTTTCTTCCCTTCCCCTGGCGCCTGTTACGAGTTCCAGCACAGAGGAGGCAATGACCAACAGAATGCATCTTGTGCCCATTGCCATTTTTCAGAGAGGCATTTTTGTTCCTTGTCTGCGCTGGGGGCACCTGTCCTCATGCAGGTCGACTGAGGCTGTCACTCAAGCTGTGCCTCCCAATGACTGAAAAATACCATAAACACCAGTAGGTTTCCCTCTAAGCAACAGTAAGTCCAAAGGGAAGATGATTAGAATTCGCAACACTGAGTCAACCTTACCCAAATAATATTACAGCTGGGAGGGGCTGCAAATTAATAAACCTTCCCTGTGTGAGCTGGCAACTGGGCATTCTCCCCTGCTCTCCTCGCTTGGGTTTGCACATGATTAACTGGAGGCTCCAGGGATTAGCATTAGCAGATCATAAGTAAAAATCCCATTTAAATGACATTCTCCTCATCATTATGGTTCCTGTAGTGAGGTGCACTGGATTGTCAGGGTCATTTCCTGGAGCCGCCTGTTGACGGATTTACCTGGCAGTCTGTCCACCCCAGCAAAGGCCATCTGAGGTGCGGGGACTAAGGAGCTGGGCTGCAGGAGGCCCTCGGCTCCTCTGCAGCAACCGCTTCACCTTGGGCACCTCCTGAAGAGCTGTGTGGAAACCATTCTGCATCTCATGCCCTGACTTCAGCGCCCAAGAGCAGCAGTCAAGTGCTTGGTCTCCCTGCCTGGCTGTGTGGGGAGAGGAAGGGGAAACCCTGGTTCTAACTCGGCCACTGCCACTGGCTGCCTTGAATGACTTTGCCTGGGTTATATTTGCTTAAATTGGATACATTTTATGAATGTCATGCTAGCCTTTTTCACATTTAGAAGGATTTATGCAAGAAGCTAAACTCTTGCTAAAACTCTCAGTCTTCTTTATGTAACAAAATGCCTCAATTGTGACCAATTCTTTTGGGGATAAAGTACCAACTCAATAGCACGACATAAAATGCCTCTTGGGATAGAATCCACCTGCTCCTCCTAACACCGGCCAGCGTTTCCCATGCTGCCCCATCCCGACGCCCTGCCACACCGAAAGCTGACAGTTCCCTGACGACGGCCCTCCTGCCCAGCTCTCTGCCCACACGGTGGCCTGAGCCCTCCACATCCCCTTCAGATGCTGGCCCCTCCTGGGGGCTTTTCCAGTCCCTATATCCAGGCCCATGTCAGAGGCCCCAGATGGGCTCCCACGGGCTCCCCCAGCCAGGCCCCCTGCCTTCCGCCCCAGCACATACTGCAGTAGGATGAGGTAAACTGTATGTGTTGTTTGCCCCGTTACACGAAAACTTCTAGAGAGCAGAGGCTCCTAATTTAACTGCTGATCCCTGGTACTCAGCACAGAGCCTGGCACACAGTTTGTGCTCAGAATAAACTGCTGATTAAGAAAATAAATGAAGCCCATCAGTCATTAACACATTTATTGTGCATTGGAATCCCTAAATGGTCTAGGAATTTTAATACGCATGTGCATTAGAGTGGCTCTAGTCCTTTCTGGCCAAGGCCAGAAAGTTCTAAATAGTTACTGGTGGTAAACCCAGTAAAATCTTTGAAATAAGGTACAAGATCAAAGCTGAACAATATTTGAGAGTTAAAAAAATGTTAAAATTTTAGAATGCTCCATTGAATGGATCAAAATTCAATTAATCGCCAGAAAGTTTTAAAAGATCTCTGGATTTTTCGTTTCTCCTTCTCTCTCCTTCCCTTACTTCATCTGTCCCATCTTTGGATCTTGACTTCAATTCACTGTCGTGTGAAAATTTACTGGACACCAGCTGTGTGCTCACGGTTACCACGTGTACAGAGGAGCTGGAGAGAGCAAAACAGAGTCCTGGCCTCTGGGACCCCAGGGCCAGGTGAGCAGATGGGCAAGGGGCATGGATACCAGGGAGCACTGGGGACGGAGCTGAGTGAACTCCAGGAAGCACAGGGAGAGACACGCCACTGGAGGGGTGGTGACTCCGGATGGCTTCCTGGGGGAGGAGGCTTTATCAGGTATGCACAGGCTGGGCATTAAGTGATTTCCATCTAAGAAAGTTCTGGTAAGGTTTTGTCTACACAGGGAGCAGATTTCGGGGAGAGGGATCTGCGGGCTGATCCACGGACCCTGCTGGACTGCCAGCGTGAGTGTGCTTGAGGTGTCCTACATCCTGCTCACTGCAGCTCCTTTCAGAGGGAGGACAGTGGTTCGGGTGAGATGAGACTCCTTATTGTCACTAGGCAGTCTTTACGTTTAAAAAAATGTTAATTTCTTCGGTTGAAGAATGCTATGGACTGAATCCTTTCCCCGCAAGTTCATGTGTCAAAGCCCCAGTGTGACTGTACTTGGAGTCAGGGCCTTTAGGAGGTAATGAAGGTTAAATGGGGTCACGGGGTGGGGCTGATGCCTGGTAGGAAGAGGAACCGGTACCTGAGCAGAGCTCCCTCGCCACCAGGTGGGGACACGGCAAGGAGGCAACTGACAGAAGGCAGGAAGAGGGCCCTTCCTGGGAACAGGGGGGGCAGCACCTTGCTCATGGACTGCTCAGCCTCCAGAACAGTGAGAAGTAAAGGGCGTTCTATCGTGGCGGCCCTAGCTCAGTGAAGATTTGACACTTTCAGACAGTTTTATTAAGTCTGTAAACATTTTGCATTTCAGTGATAATTCTGATCTCTAAATGAAAACATTTAAAATTTTAAATTAGCAAGTTCACCAGAGCAGCAGTATAGAATGATGAAAAATGCAGATTCTCAGCACGGCCTTGCTGTGTGACCTTGGGTATGTTAGTGGACCTTGGCCTCCTGCCTCATGCTGCCCCCTGGGTGGGAAGGTGGCAGAGATGAGGAGCTCAGGTGCAGTGTGTGGTGGTGGTTCGGGTGGTGGTCAGTGGTTCTCAGCTGTCCTTCCAGTCACCACTTTGGGGAACACATTTCAAAATTCCTAGATTCACCATATCTTTATCTGTAGGATCGGATTCCTTCCTCGCTCTTTTATTTTTTAAAAAATTTTATTTATTTTTCAAGAGAGGGGAAGGGAGGGAGAAAGAGAGGGAGAGAAATATCAATGTGTGGATGCCTCTTGAGTGCCCCCAACTAGGGATCTGGCCCCCAACCCAGCCTTGACTGGGAATCAAACTGGTGACCCTTTGTTTCCCAGGCCAGCACTCAATCCATTGAGCCATACCAGCCAGGGCTATTTTTATTTTTCAAACGCTGTGACTTCATTGGCCTCCATCAGTGCTTCTCAATCCCAGCTTAGAAAATGCTGCAGGGCATTTATAATTGTCTCAGGCAGTACAGCAATGTTCTTATTAAAACCCCTCATAATATGGGATTTATTTTAATTGACCTCAATTCACAGTATGCATTAAAAACATCTTGTATAAGCCATATGGCACTTTAGAAGGTAGCTGAGAGGTTGCAGTGAAATGAAATAAACTATGTCAAGATTTCATACCCTTTGTAAGACCCAGAATTCCTCATCCAGAGAAACATACTAATCAGACACCTTATTTCCAAAACCCCAGGATCCAGCAAAATGCGATTTATTGGGAATGGATTAATCGATTGCTGCTGGGCTCCCTCAAACATCTTTCCTATCCTCTTGGCATCCTTGACCTTGTCACTTGTCTGATGTTCCACCACTGAGGGATTGCCTGAGGTTAATGAATCTCTTTTAAAGAGCATATGTCTGCACTTCTGTGTGGGTAAAAGGGGGCGGCAGTCATTTTCATCTCAATGTAAATGGATTCCTCCTGGAATGCTTCCCAGGAGCACTCTCTGAGGTCAGCCCCATGGGGGTGGGGGGCGGTGGGCCTGGAAGCTTAAGCTGTACTGGGGTGGGGGGAGATGAGGGGAATACGGAGAGAGGAGGGGAAGGGTTAAGGAATGTTCAGCCCTAGACAAGGTGAGGCGGGAAGCTCCCACAGTGGGTTCTGGAGACTGAGGTCCCCAGGAACACTCAGGATATGGGTGGGGCAGAAAAAAAAAAACACGTTGGAAGAGTGGTTGGTTGCAGCACCAGGCAGTGAGGCCATGGAATGAGCATCATTTCCCTGTTTTGTTCAGCAGACCGTCTCTGCAATCCCCTCCCCTCCCTGCTGGCACTCTCCCTCTTGATAATTTAAAACAATTTAAAACAATTCACACCTCGCTCTTCAAAGCTCCCTGAAGGCCAGCTGCAGGCTGGCTGTGCAGACTCCCTCTTCAGTGGCACAGTCACCCAGAGAAGTGAGTGCCACCTCCGCACTCTCTGCACTGCCAGTGTCAGAAGCAGACACTTCAAAGCTTTTGATTCAAACGAGACACTTCATTTGTCATTGACAAGTGTGACACAGTGGTCCTTGTGATCACAAGTCACGAGGCTGTGGAGTGAGTTATAGATTTTTCCACTTCAGAAAAGAGCATGCACCGCTCACAGTGCACCATGTCACTGCTTACTTCAAAGTCGTCGGGTCCCTGTTCTCAACCCGAGTGCCACCCAAAACAAGGCTACACCGTCATCCGAAGGAGAGAGAAGAGCATCAGAGAGGAGACACAGAGCATTTACAAGGTAAGGATGTGCTAGGGAAGACCATAAACTGATCCTGGGGACCATGAAAAAGAGGACCAGCTTCCCATGAGCTCAACGCAGAGCAAACAGCCAGGGGGCATGTCCGCAGGTCCACTGACCCTGTGGGGTCCCAGCTGGGAGTGTGGCCCTCCGCACCTCAGGCTGGTCTTTAAAGTGGCCATTTCCATGCTGATTTTAAGATGCCATTCATCTCCCTGAGCTAATTCTTCCAAAAATCAGCAAGTGACCAGAACGCTGAGGTGCCTACCCCCTGCCATCATTCCTGGAGCACAGCACTCCCCCCTGCAAAGGGGTGAGTAGGGGCCATGCGCCAGGTGAGTGCCTACCTGGTCCAGCTTCCAGTGGAACTCGGCAGGGCGGAAGGTGTCGGCCTGGTCGAAGTCCTTCCGCAAGAGGAAGACCAGGCGGCAGTTGTGCACATACAGGGCGTAGTGATGCCGGTTCATTTCTGAAAACAGAGACAGGATTTGGGGGGTGAGCGAGCCCCTGCCTCGGTGTCAGCCTCCACCAGAGACTTCCCTCTGCGTCACTCAGGACCTCAAAGGACACCAGCATGGCGGTTTCTCTTTTATACTTGGTCCTGATGTATGTTCTAGAGCTTACATGGCAGAGCTCACTGAAATGCAAGAGGAAGATTCCAGAAAGCCCACAGCAAAACTTCTGCTAAGAAGTCACCTGGGCATTAAATACTAACCCAACCTATGCTTAGGTGCTATTTCAGACCCCAGATAAAAATTACTTAGGTTAACAAGCTTTTATTTTTTAAATTTTTTGGTAAAATCCTTCTGGGAGGGTTGAGGGAGCTCTCTGACAATCACATGGTTCACTCTGGGATCCTTTCGCATAGCTGGTTTCTCGGCCAGTCCTGGGCGTTTACTGCCTCAGACGGGTGGGGGTGGGGGAGCATGGAGCACCTCTCCTCAGCTCTCTGCGCAGGGAAGGGGAGCTGCCTCCCTTTTAGTTTGCTGGCAGGAGGGGAACAGATGGACTTTCCAACATTACGGGTAATTCTGTGTCTTTCCAAGCCTCTCTCATCCATACACAGACAATGAATGGGACTCTTCCCTTCTTTGATATAAAAACTTCCTTTCCTGATTAGGAAATTTCATGCTGTCAGTCCCAGTCAGATGTACTGTAGCCGCCAGTCAGCACCCATTGGGTGGGGAGGAAGAGTCTTTGAGCAACACTCAGAGAACTCACATGTACAATACAGTAGCCCACACAGTAATGTTCCACAGGGCAAATGCTCCACAGAGGATGGGTGGATGAGCAGAGGAGGTTCAGTGCGAACAGCATGGGTCCTAGATTTAGACAGACTTGAAGTGGAGCTGTATCTTTGGGTGATGCAAGGATGGTTATTTACCCTCCCAGAACCTGGGTTCCTTTAACATTGTTGCCTTATCCTGACCCACAGAATAGGATCCTGTCCTATCATGAGAGGAGGCTATAGCGGTTGATTCTTGCACATCATGCACAGACCTTGCCCATGTGGCCTGGGTGGAACGAATCAACACCAACCCCACTCCTAGAAACAGGCTCTGATTGGTTCTGGCCAAAAGGCCAGATGCAAATCCCCTTGGCACCATGAGTGGTTCAGGGTCCAGGCCCAAGCCCAGCAGTTCAGGCTATTCTCTTGGCCATAGGGCTTCTCTCAGGAATTGGCAATGTCTCAATTCAGGCCGGTGATTCATGAGGTTTTCTGACAGGTTCTGGGAAAGCACTACTTAACTACTACTTTTTTTTTTTTCTTTTGGCAGAAAGCAAAGAGAAGAGACACTTTCTATAAGTCGTAGTATATAACTTGGAAGCTTGGTACTTCCGCATCCACATTTGCTAACATGGAATTGATATACTTACAGTGGCAGAGCTAAGAAATTGCAGGGAAAAGGAGCCAGGCTTTGATCAGACTTTGCCTGAAGCTGTCTTATCTGCAGACATTTTCAGCTACAAGAACCTTGCATTCCTTTTATTATTTTATATTTTGATTTTGTGATACCAGTTTGATCTGTACTTCCCATTCCTTATAACTGAAAGCATCTTAATGGTTACAGTGAGAAACTGTGTGTAAAGCACCTGCCCAGAATGGTTGCTCAGTGACTGTGAGTTCCTACAAGGACTGCTGCACTGCTTCATGGCCATGCAGCATAAAAATGTAGTGTTGGATGCTATTTGCATAAAGCATACTCGTTCTTCAGAATGCAACCAAAGCATAGAAGGAAGGTGAATGGTCAGTTGGCAAATGTGGCAAGGTTAGCCTGGGCCAGTGTCTGCTTTGGGGCTGGAAAACACCCAGGCCTGGTTATAGGAATTTTACTAAATATTTCTTGCCCCTCTCACAATAGCATAACTTATTTCCTATAGTTTCTATTGATACAAACCAGGAAAATATAGAAAGAATTTTCCCCTTCAGTACTATTTGGAGTCAGGACAGGTTGTGGGTAAGGAGGTGGAACAAGAAGAATGAAAGAGGTCTAGAGCATCTCCTAGCCTAGGAGGTTTGTCCCTCCCGCTCCCTCCACTTGTCTGCATTCCTGGAGTCACACCCACACCAGGGTACCAGATGTGGCCAAGGGGCTGGTGACATCATGCACTTAGGAATCAGCTTCCCTTCCTTTCCTGGCCTTCAGTGGTCCTCGCTGCAGCTCTCTTTCCCTCTCTTTGCCCACGTCTCTGGGAGATCCTAATGCCTCCTGGACACCTTCAGATATTAAAATATTCTTGAAGAGTTCTCTCCAAATAAAACTTCAGTCTCTCATCTGATGAAGAGAGCTTCCCATCTCCTCCACTCAGTCCTGACCTATGACCCAGTCACCCACAGTGGGGAAGAATGGGGTAAGGTCTGTTCTTTCATTCTCCTTGTCCCACTTCCTCTTCCCCCAACCTCCTCCTGGCCCCAGTCACTGTCAGAGGCAGGAAGGTAGATGCAAAAGGATGAAGTGGAAAGTCTCTTTAAAGCGCCAGTGAAATTTGTCATTTTCTTGTGGATGTCCAATGTCCTTTGTCATGGCAGATGTCTACGTACGGGCTCCTTCATGGGCACATTGACTGGTTTTTGGAGAGGCCCTGCGGAGATTTTTGCATGACCCCCATGGTCAATGAAGCGGGTTTGGGTCCCGGTAAAATATTTTTTCCAGCCCTTTCTTCTTCCCCCCACCCTACCCTCACTCCCCACATGCTCAATAAGAGTGGACCTGTTATAATATTTATATATTGTAGAAACTGATCTGATAAGTGACACTCCCTTTCTCAATGGCTGGGACAGTTGTACCAGTTCCAATCCCACCTTTGTTGGCCCTTATCTCACCATTCCTGGTGTGAGTGGTGCTCTTTCCAGTTGACCTTTTGTGATTCTTCTCGGCTCCTGCCCTCCCCCAGTAATGTCTCCCTCCCCCACATCTGCTTCTCCTGCTGACATCCTGTCTTCCTGGCATGCAGCTCTCTTGGTTCTAGTCTTGCCCATTTCTGGATGCCTGTATGTTTCACAATATGAAGAACAAAACCACCCGTGTCCTGCCAAATTGTAGTGGGGCACCTGCTCTCTCCTCATCCCACCACTGAGGCACCACCTGGGCTTGAGGCTCCAGCTTTTATACACCCCACACTCCTGGGGATGAGTCAAACTTCTGCAGGGCTCCTGGTCTCTGCTCCAACACCAGCCTAGAGCAGACAGAACAGTGATTGCAGCTCAGCCTGCAGGCCACTCACTGGAAGAGAGATTGCTACTTCCTCTTTAAAGCAGACAACCTCGACCCTTCTGAGTGGTTTTCTGGGCATCTCTGAAAGTATGGGAGCACCTTTCTTCTGCCCAGCAGCCAGGGGGACCTCCTTAGTACTCTATACCAGGCTGGCATCTGCCTCTCTCACCTGATTGATGGGCCAGGTTGGCCCCTCCTCTTTCTTGGAAAGCCCTGTAGGGAAGTGGCTCTGTAGGTGGCCACTTGTCATTCACTGCTCTCAGCTGAAACTCAGAGGTAGCAAGAGGGCTGCATACCAGGCAGAGGGGGTCCTGGCAGGAGGAGCAGAGGTGAGTGGGGAGAGGAGGTACTGAGGGAGGGTAGGAAAGAGCATTGCTCATACTGGGAAGAGAAAATTAAGGGCCAACAAAGGTGAGCTTGAAGGAGGCACAAATGCCCCACAGAATATCCCTGTGGTAGAGACAGTGCTGTATGTTCACCTAACCCTGTTTCCTTTGCTCCTCCTATACACACAGCTAAACTCAATTCACAGCCTTTCTTGTAGTTAGGAGCCATGTGACCAAATTCTGGCCAATGGAATGTGAGTCAAAGTGAGACACTCCATTTTCTGGTCTAGCCAATAAAACACTTCTATGCTGTACTCTATTCTAACTTTCTGTTCTGTGGTTGGAAAAGGCAGTGCCAAACAATGGAAGGGATCTGGGTCCCTGAATATCTAGATGAAGGGCAGCTTCCTCATCCCCAGCCCCACTTAGAATGGCTGGACACTGACGTGAGGGAAGCTGAAATGAAAGTGTGTTAGCCACTGAGATGTTTTTCTGTTGGTGATGGTAATAGTGGTTTTCTTTCTTACTTTTTAAAAACTACAATTAGTCCATGCTTGCTAATCAATTCTGTTATCCAACTTTTTAAAAAGATTTTATTTCTTTCTTTTTAGGAAGGGGGAGGGAGGGAGTAAAAGAGGGAAAGAAACATCACTGTGTGGTTGCCTCTTCAGGGCCCCCTACTGGGGACCTGGCTCGCAACCCAGGCATGTGGCGTGACTGGGAATTGAACCAGTGACCCTTTGGTTCTCAAGCCAGAGCTCCATCCATAGAGCCACACCAGCCAGGGCTGTTATCCAACTATTTATAAACTAGTTTAGCATTAGTAAGTTTTACTTAGTGGACAAGACAGAAACTAGTGCAATTTTCATGAAGGGTAATTTGGTAATTTACATCAGTAGCCCTCTTAACATTTATATTCTTTGACTCAGTAATTCTATCAGAAATATCCATAAGGGTATATACAAGAATGTTCATTGTAGCATTGCTTTATTTGCATTAAAAAAAAGGCAATCTAAATGTCTAACAAAAGGGAGGCAACCAAAGTATAATAAAGCAACATGGCAGAATTTTAGACTGCCATATAATTCATATCTTTAAAGAGTATTTTATCACATGTAGAAATGATCTAAATATAATATTATATAGAAGTAATAGATAACAGTAGTATCACATGTATTATAAAACAGATTGAAATTGTAAGGACAGATACATAGAAATACAAGATTTGGTAATGAAATATATGAAGTATTACCAGAAACTATCTCCAAGTTTAGGATTTTTAGGTGATTTGTATCTTTTTAAATATTTTCCTTTGTTTTTCATGTTTTCTGATATAATAAATGTGTATTGATTTTAATATTATTTGAAAAAATGTTTCTGATACATAAAAGCCCTAATCAAGCTTAATTTATTCTGTATATTTTAAAATGCAGGGCGAGAAGGTAGTTATAGGCTTTTTTTGAGTTAGAGAAAAATCTTCCCCATTTTCTTTGTGCCAGCCTTGAACTAATTTGTAAGGCGGTGTTGACACTGAGGCCCAGGCCGAGCAGCTCCGGGGTGTGCTGGTTTGAGGGTGCCCACCGGCCCGGTGCCTGGACTGCTCCGAGGACAGTGAGGCCGGCGAGGTGCCATTGCTCGTGCAGGGTTTTCAGCCAAGGCTACCAAAAGGATCCCCCAGAAACTCAGATTTATTGAGCTGGGAGTTGGGGGATGGCATTTATATATTTTAAAAAGTGCTCCAGGTTATGCTGGCGTGTAGCAGGGTTGGGATCCACGGATCCAAGAGCACGGGCCTGGAATGCATGGCTGGAGGAGGGCCGAGCCTATTTTCCTGGGCACTCAGCAGCTATCCTAGGCCACTCCCTCAACTTCTAATTCCCTTCTCTTTGAGCAGGAATATTAATATCTATCCGACCTGCTTCCCGGGGCTTTTGGATCCATTTCAGCCAGCGCTGTATGTGTGAGGCCACTAACCCAGCTCACACTGCTTTGTGTTTCTCCATACCTTCCTAAGCCTTTGTCTCATTGACAGGCTCCTGGATTATAGTGGGAGCACCCAGTCAGGCACTGGGAGGATCAGGCCACAGAGCAATTCCTGGACTGTTGGCTGAACTCTGAGTCTGGTCCCAAACCTCAGGGCCATCTCATGTACGTCAGCAAGGCCCCTTTTGACAGAAGGTCCTAGAGAAAATGGGCACTGGTCCTGGCTCCAACGTAGACATACCACATGACTGGGGGAAGCTGGGTGACTCTGTCTCAGTTTCTATATCCAGAAAAATGCATGAACATGTATTGTAAGGATTGACTGAAACAGGAAATGTGGGGTTCTGGGAGCAGCAAAATGTAAAACTCAGAAGCCGTAATGATAACATCAAGTAAATTAACGGAGCACTGGTTTTATTGTATCTGGTGCCGCTAAGTGATTTCATACATTATTTCATGTTTATTTTCCCCATTTTACATTTGGGGAAACTGAGGCAAGGAGAGATTTGAGCAACTCCTCAAAGGTCACACCCTAGGCAGTAGAAAAGCTGAGACAGGAACTTGGGCCGCCCCTCAGCAGAGGCTGAGCCGTCAGCCGTCCTTCTGCACTGTCTTCTCGTTGCTGAGGTTATTTTGGGTAATTTAACAAAAGTAGCATTTGAAATGGGAATTTGTGAAATTACAGTTTAAGATGGAGTCATAAAATTTGCATAAGATATCAGAGTGTTCGTGGACTCACATGCGTGCTTGCACGTGGGGGCAGGCACGAGAGCACGGGACTGGAGCTGGTCACTCCAAGCTTCCCGCTCTGAGCTTTCCTGGCCCTGGAACTCGGGGCGAGTCCACTTAACCCGTCAGGGATGTCCCTTATCCTTAAAATGGGAGACACAATAATGCTTTTACAAGATTAGTGATGGGAGGCACTGGCTGGAAGAGTACGAGCACAGATTGTCCTTCCTACATGCCAGGTGCTGTGCCAAAGCACTGTGCGTACATTAGGTCATTTAATCCTCACAAGAACCCGACAAGGTAGACGATGACACTGTAATGCCCACTTTATAGACAGGGCAAAAGTGAGGCACAGATGCGTTCAACAACCTGCCCAAGGCTACATGGTCTGTAAACGGTGGCGAGATTTTAACCACCAAACTGTGAACTGCTTTGCACAGCGGGCCCCGCTGTCATTATTATCCACGGCACTGGTTTTCAAACTACTAATTTAAACTAGCAGGGTCCTTTCATTAAAAATAAACTTTTGTTCCTGTGGAAAATGACATGCAGGTTCTGATTATTACAATAGTTGTATTAACTCTGTGTTGTGTATACTCACAACTATAAACGTACTGTTGCCCACTTCTGTATATAATAAAAGTGGAGCTGCTTTGCTTGAAGTAAGGATGCACCCCCATACCTGTCTCATGTACAGCAGCCCCAAGGGACTTCTGGGAGGCTGGGGTTGTGAAGAACCCAGTTTAAAACCTCCAACCCCAGGGGCAGCTTTTGCATTCTTTGTGTCTGTACAGCTGATTTTGTCCTTTTTCTGGTCCTGCTCTACCCCTAGCCCAGGAATCAGCAGCCGGAAATCCAGAGACCAGAATCTTTTCCCAGGGCCCCTGTCACGCTCTTGCTTTTCTCCCCCATCTTCGGCAGCTGTGTCTCTGCCTGACCTGCTGAGACATCACAGGCAGCCACCAGAAGGGCCAGGCTCGAGACTCACCAGTTTTATCTGAGTTGCAGAGGATGGTTTCCTTCTCCGCCCTCACACCAGGGCTGGGGCCGTGTTTCATCCACATGGTGATGGTGAACTGGTCCGTCAGGTTCTTGGGCACAATCCCGTCAGGGATCTTGGCACCCTGCCTGCCGTCAAACTTGAAGATCATCTCACTGCTGTCTATCAGCAGTCCTGCGGTCCAGTTTGTGGCAGCACTGGGGGATGGCAGGAGGTCGATGATGCCAGAGGAGGCTCCTGCAGGGGACGGGGGACAGAAAGAAGAAAGGGTCATCCCTAATGGTGTGGGTGGCCTCACCTTCTGTATTCTGCTGCTAGGTCAGGATTAACTACACTTGACCCTTGAACAATACTGATTTAAACTGCATGTGTCCACTTAGATGTGACTTTTTTCAGTAAATACTGTAATGTATTTTCTCTTTGATTTTCTTAATACCATTTTCTTTTGTTGTAAGAATATAGTATTAACAAATATATCATAAAAATACGTGTTAATCAACTGCTTATTTTATCAGTAAGGCTTGCTGTCAACAGTAGGCTATCAGTAGTTATGTTCTGAGGGAGTCAGAAGTTATACATGTATTTTTGGGCATGCTGGGGTCAGCACCTCAACCCCCACATTGTTCAAGGGTCAGCTGTACTCATTGTACTTATTTAGAGGTCTGTGCCCAGTCCTGAGCTAGGTGACATAGAAAAAGAAGGGCCAAATGCCATCCCTGCTCCTGAAATGCCATGGTCTCCCTGGGGAGGCATCAGTAACCTACTCAGAAAAGTTCTGCCTGTGGTGAGACACAGTGCAGTTAACTACCACACAGGGAAAAGGTACTGGAGGAATTTAGGGAAATGGGAATCCCCTCGGGGTGTTTATAAAGAGGCAAGGTTCTGGAGAAGGCCAGGGTTTGATTGGGATCAGCAGATTCATTCGAGCACTCATCCATCCGTTAACCTGTCAGCCACTGACTGAGCACCCACGAGATGCCAAGACCCCTGGCGGGTGCTGGTCCCTGAGTATCTCCCTAAAGGAGAATCAGCACAGGCCCTGAATCAGGACCAACAAGTCGACAGACAACTATGATCAGGGCTGTGATGGAGGAACATTCTAGGTTCCAATACCATGGGGAGTGGAAGCCACCTGTACTCACTATACTTTTTAAAAATAACCATTTGTGCAGGCCAAAGGGTACAGCAGTTCAGTTCTGGAGTCAGCCAAACTTGACTCTGACGCCTGCCAGCACGACTTGTAGCCTTGTTACCATGCGTAAGTCACTTAACCTTTCTGATGTCCCATCTCCTTTTACACTATCTCCCTTCCCAGGGTGTTGTGAGGACTGAATAAGAAATTGCATTAGAGCTTTCAGCAGCCTGCTCACCACGAGGTGCGCGTTCACTTCAGATTAGCTATCACTTCATCATTATTATTATAATTGTTATTATTTCTGCTACCACTGTGATTCCAGACTAACGCATGGGGACTTAACCTGAAGCAGTGGGAGTATCATGGGCAGATTTTTGTCTTAGGAGAGTCACACCTACAATTTTGTGGAGGGCAGAGCTGAGTGGGAGGGGCTGGCCTGAAGAGAAAGCTGGATTCCTCAGCTGGGAAAATCCTTGAGCTTCTGCATCCTTACTTTCTCCACGTCCTTACATTCCACACGGGAGCAAGGCTCAGCAAGGAGGAGGTCCCGGGGCTTCCTGATACTGTCCGGAAATAAAAGCTAGAACATCTAAGGTGTGCCGGGTGCTGGGGGCCACAGGTATGGGGGCTCTCTCCTGGCTCAGGACTGACCAGTCTGTGGTAAATGCTGATGGGTTTAATGGACAGTGGTTGGGTGTATTGCCTGCCATTTGTCAGCCATCACTGAACTTCTGAATTCTGCATAACAAAGCCTCATCTCACGCAGGGATTGAGTTCCAAAGTCAGCTACCACAAACATCTCCTATAGTTAAAATGACCCTTGAAAATCCCTCAGGAAAGGGCCATACTGGAAACCAATATATTTCTTTGAAAATGTTCAATCCAGCCACTGTTGCCTCCAGCTTTGGAACAGATCTCTGGGTCTAAGGTTGAGCACTTATTGGCCTGCAGTTGAAAGTTTTGTTATGCAGAAAATATGCTCTGTTTAGTACTGCGAGAGGCTCACCTGGGGCAGGCTTCTAGGAACTGCAGACCCTGAGAGGGTGGAAGAGTTCAGGCTCCCATTCATGGTCACCCTGTTGCTCAGGCGTATCAAGGACAAACGGGGGCTGTGTTGACTACTTTATTTACATGCATTTCTCTAAGAGTTTTTGGTTGGCAGCATGCCTGGCACCCAGTAGACACTCCATTAATGTGTATAACTAACTGCCTTTCTTCCCATCTAGTGCCTCCATGAGAGGCCTCTGGCCACCTTCCTAATGCTCACGTGAGCCTGCCCATCCAGCCTCCTGTCCATGCCCCACACCTCTCGTCCCACTCCCCTGGGGCCTCCTTTGTCTGTTTTACTTATCTGGGAAGTTAATTCACACTAATGTTTTAGTGACTAACAAAGCCTTAAGGGTTATCACCCTCCAGAGGTGGGTATATACATGTTGAATGAATGAAATCCACCAACATGGTAGCAGGTAAAGACTTGGGGGTAGATTAGGAGTGGGAGATACGTGGTCTTCAGGAAAAGTTCATTTTCTTAGATCTCCCAGAATAATGCAATACTGCAACAGTTTCCTTGACCAGTAATTAAATTGGCTCTGACACGAAAATTTGTCTAGCACAGAGACAGCCTGGTGATTGGGGCACACACAGAGTGTGTGTCTGTTTCTGAAACTTCAGGCAGCCAGAGAGACGCAGCCTGAGCACTGAGGGCTCCTGACTTCTAGCTCAAGCCAATGCAGCCAGCATCACCCAGCAGGGCCCAGGGCAGAGGTGCATGGGCCGGCCTCTACACAGCAGAACCAGGATGGAAAGTTCCAGGGCTGAAAACTCCACCATTTGAGGGCCTTTTTTGGCTAAGGACCATGCAAAGGTCCCTGTAGAATCCACACTGTAATTAGCACCTTAGATCAGTGAAGGGGATACTTCTAATTCTCCCCCAAACAGGTGTATAGAAAGGGGGAGAGGTATAATATAAGGGGTGGTGGGGAGAAGACAGAAAGAGATTGGGAGGCAAAACTGGTTGCATTTGCCAAAGGCCAGCCCTGGTCAGGGTTATTCTGTACATATCTCCTATACATATAGAAGTTCATTTTTCATAAAAATAAACTTCTGTTTATTGTTAATGCCCTGTTTTATTTTACAGGGCATTATTATTATTTTCCTAGGAACCTTTTTGGGGTACTGAGTCCAGACCTAAATTAAGCACTTCAAAGCTTTTTCTTAGTTACTCAGCTATGTGGTGAATAGCATTATGATTCCACTTTGCAGATTAGATACCTGAAGCTCAGCAATCACAAGATCACAAGCAGCTAGTGAGGGGCCCATCGTCAGGGCTTTTCAGTTCTTTCCTCTCCCCTGAGACCTCCCCACGGCATCACCGCAGTGAACCTGGAGGGGACTCTCATAACCTCCTGCACATTTTACAAACATAGAAACTGAGGCTCAGGGAGGGGAAATGACTAAGATCACACAGCCACACAGCTAGCTAGAGGGCGGGCCCAGCTCTCAGACACCTAGCTGACATTCCACGCAGTACAGTGTCCTGCCAAGCACAGCCCAGTCCCCTGGGATCCAGCTCCCTACACAGGCGGCTGCCTGCAGAAGGTGCACTGAAGACAGCATGTGTCCTAGCAAGGCCATGGATGCAGAGCTCCCTTGTCTTCCCTACTGAGGGGGGCAGCAGGCCACCCTGCCTAATCCACAGATGTTGCCTTCTGGGAAGCCTCAAGCTGCATTTAACCAGATGGTGCATATTTCCACAAACACAACAGCTTGTATTTCATTTCTCGATGCACTTAAACAAATAGAGAGATGTGCCTTCTCCCAAAGTTCTTTTCTCCCTCCTATCCCCAAGGGATCCTGTGGAGAGCAGTGAGTAAACAGATACATCACAAGCAAAGATGGTATGGCGTTGTCTGCACATTAGGGTATATTTAAGATGCTCCTTGGGACTCCACAAAGGTCCCTGGGACCCACTGGCCCGCTGAGAGGGCACGCTGGTCTGGGGCACAGCAGCTGCAGCTTGAACGTGGTGGGCAGGGGGAGGGCTGGGAGTCAGAGGGCTCAAGGTGGGGAAGCCTTTGAGCCAGCAAGTAGATAAAGACAGGTGAACGATGCAGATTTCAGGGTACACTGTGGTGTGAGAACCCAAATCAGCCTGGGGGAAGTTATCAGCATCTGGCCTGCTAATTGAGGGGTTTTCATTCTGCTCTGGATGGTCTTGGTAAGGGCAGAGAGCCCTTAGCACTTCAAGGTGGAACTGTGGCAATGGTGACTGACAGGCCTCCTCATGGTCCACCACAGCATGGGAAAGGGTGGGAATAAGCAACAGTGTCTCGGGGGAGAGGAACCATCATAAACAAGCACAGAGGCCTCATTCTGCAGAGTATTCTCATGATCAGCAACATCTCTGTATTAGTTCAATGAATGTTTGTGTAATGTCTCAGCCATGCCAGGTACTGCAGTGAGAATGCAGTGCTAAATTAGAGAGAAATGGGCCCTACCTGTCAGGACCCAGTACAAAGCCTTTGGGTGGAGCAGTCCAGTGGCAGAGAGTCTCAGAGGAAGCAGGGAGGCTCTCTTGACAGATGCCCGAGCAGGACTGCATGGTGGTATAGAGCATTCTGTTCCCCACATGCCTCTCTGACCCACTGATATCACTTGGCCATGTGACTTGCTGTGACCAATGAACTATGAGTGAAAGTCAAGTATATCATATCAGGGCAGAACCTTTGAGAGCCAGGACATGGTTCACCATCTGTCTTTTCCAGGTGCTATGAGAGCAACGATGATCTAGTAAAGGCTGTTCCTTTAGCCTGACCCCAGGCTGAAGCCCACATGGAATAGTCACGGTCAACCCAAGAAGAACACGTGGTACAAATGATAAATAAACCTTTGTTGTTTTAAGCCAATGAGATTTGGGGATCATCTGTCACTACAGCATTAACCTGCTGTTCCGACTGACAACCCACATAAGTGACTGATATCAGTAGATGTAATTCCCATTTCACCATCTGCTCACCTTCACAAGGACATGGAGGGCTTTCGGATGGCATTTCAGGAGCTCAAACCCTATTGATCCTATGATAAGACTATTATTCTACCTCTGGAATCCTGGACAAGAGGGGAATCCTCCAAGATGCTGGATCTCTAGGTGAAGCAAGGTGGGCTTCGGATGAGGGGTGGGCAGCCAGGTTCCCAGGGTGGGGCCATGGAAACCCAGTTGCTGACCAGCCTGGACAAGGCTACCGTAGACAAAAACCTCCTCCCCAGGATAGGAGGGTATGCTGTATGGTAGTGGCATAGAAACCTTAAAGGCACAGGCACACCCAGAAAGGTGTCCACTGCTTCCTGTCATCATCCATGAGTCAGAGTGTGCAGCTTTTTACTGATGTATGATTAATGCTCTTAAAAATATATTTTATTTATTTATTTATAGAGAGAGGGGAAGGGAAGGAGAAAGACTGGAACAGAAACATCAATGTGTGGTTGCCTCTCATGTCCCCCACTGGGGACCTGGCCTGCAACCCGGGCATGTGCCCTGACTGGGAATCAAACCAGCGACCCTTTGCTTCACAGGCCTGTGCTCAATCCACTGAGCTACACCAGCCAGAGCTGATTACTGCTTTAATCTGACTCCCAACAGGCATGCATCAATTTTCATTAAAGTGAGAGGCCCACTTCAGTTTTCCGAGAATAGTCACTGGCTATGACTACGGCACGAATATGGTCCCCTGGAATCTCCAGCTCTTCACGGGTATCTTGGAGAAGCGTCCTGTGGTTGGGCTGTTCTGAGGGTATGAAAAGCTCTGTCAGTGATTCCTGGTGAGGACAGCTCTGTTGTGCTGCAGGGTGAAAACCAGCGACTTAACTTTTTCACCATGTCTGTCTAAACTGCTAAGGGGTCTTCTTACATTCCATATAACCACAAGAGTTACAGCACTTGGACGCTCAACAAATGTTAGTTAAATTAATAAATATGTAAATGAATGGAAGAATCCCCTGTGAAAACTTCCTGGCTCACAAGTGCATAATTCTGAGAACAACTTAATGTCTAGCGATCTGAACTACTCTGACAGATCAATCACTTGATTTAATAGCATGCACTCATTCTTCGGCCTTTCCTTCAACAAGACCTGTCCTCGCAGTTCACGACTCCACATACAAAACAGCTGGCTGGGTGCCGTGGGCGGGAGCTGCTGGACAGCTGCCAGGAGTCCTGTGATCCTGAGCAGGGACAGCCCCTGGCCCTGGGCTATGAAGGTGTGTGTGTCCTAAATACTTTTCTATTGACTATAATAGGTGGTGACTTGAGGTCATCAAAGCAGACCTTTTCTGGAGCTGTGGTTAATGTCAAATTCAATCTGGTCAAGAGGTCTTACCAAGGGTTTCCCCATGAATTTCATGCCCACGGCAGTGCTGTGACACTTCACCTCCAGGAAGCCAGGTACTGAGACGTACCCTCATCTTAAATCTCTGAGTTAAGAGGAAATGATAAGCAGCCTGCCCGATTTCTCCTAGAAGCCTGGCTTTACGTAAAGCAAGGGCAGTCGAGGGGCCTTCTTAGGCTATATCCAGCCCACGAGCTGACGGGGGCATGGGTTAAGGGCCCTGAATATGTTTGCTTCAAGGCAGAGCAGGAGTGTCTCAGTGTACAAACCTCAGGCAGCACTTCACTGGAACCAAAGGGGCTACTTCAAGGGCGGCAGCTCCTGTCAGGTAGGTCCTGACAGGAGGCTTTGTGCCTGTTACTGTCCGACTCCCCCATCGCTGCTCCTCACGGAGCTGATGTTGCAGGAGAAGGAAGCAGGTGGGCAATGAGCAGACTTCGTAGTGCCCCTGTGGGGAGACACCCCTGCTTGTGTCACTGCACAATTACAACATCACCGAAGAGAGAGCAGAATTCAAAGTTACCCAGAAAGTACCTCGGACTGTCACCCTGGCGAACATAGAGGGCAAGAGAATATTGCCCCCATAGAGGGATTAGAATGAGGAAGAGGGAAGAGAGCATCTTAGCAGGAAGAAAATATGAGCAAAGGCTTAGGGATGAGAATAAGCCAGGTGTGGGGTAAGAGAGGTGCGCTGGCCAAGAAGAACATCAGGAGGAAATGGGCTATGATAATGGATGGGCAGGATGCAGGCAGGTCTTCTGGAGAGTAAGGGTCAGGCTAGCGCTGGGCACACACACCTGGATGTTCCACAGGTGACGGTCATCATTGCTCCTAACTCTGTTCTTGCTCTGGATTCCTAGTTCTCATTGGAGGCACCCTTGTCCAGCCACACACTCATCCTGGAGTCGTCTCAGATTCCTTCTTTCTCACTCCCGACAGCTAACGCATTACTAAATCTTACCAATTTTGCCTCTGTGCTCTGTCTTAAATTCATACCAACTGCCACTCGCTTGGTTCAGAACTAATTATACCTTTTTTAGACTACGGCAATAACATCCTAATTCATCTCCATGTTTCCATCCAAAGTCAATAAAGATTTGTAGAATAAAAAAATGCATGAATGCTGAGGCTTAAAATGTCACGGCAGTTCCCTGGTTAGGGAACTCCGTAAGAAACTTGCCTACCGCCCACTGAAACACATATAGGAGCTTGTCCCCGGAACTTCAGGTTCCCACAGGAGTCAGGAATTACAACCCAGACTCTGTTTTAGGAGAGATCGAGCCTGCATTTCCTTCACAGCTTGCAGACATCCTGGGGTCCGATGAGTTGCCTCCTTCTGAAGGAGGCTCTAGCACCAGATGTGCGTCTGATTCTCACTCTTCTGCATCTGCCTTTTCCCCCCAGAGTTCTACTCAGAGCAATTCAAGATTCAGACTCAGAATGTGGAGGCAGGGGTGGCCCTGCCCATCAGGGTTCCTTGGACAGAGTTCCCATCAGTGCAGAGGGTGGCACCATCAGGAAGGTTCACCAGACAGACACGCAGATATCTCTTAACAAAGGGTCTCCCCCGAGCACCAGATAATCTTGCATGCACCTTGGGGGAAACTGCTTTCCTGACTGAATTAACCTACCCTCCTGCAAGGGGAGCTGGCCGTGCAGAGGAATGAGCTGTGTTAACACCAAATGCAATTTTGTTCTAAAGTTTCTTACCTCAGAAAATCCTTCTCACTCTCCATATCTCCTCATCTCTCCTGGCAACATTCAAAATCAAATCACAAGTGCATGCCCTTGGGCCCATCTGATCTTTAACAAGCTGATTCCATCATCTCCTTATAACCTGGAGGAGTTTAGGAAATGACTATAACCCATGGTAGCTCTTAGCGGAGTGGGGTCCAGTCGACTCATAATTTAGGTGCACAGGAAGCAAAATGAGATATTCATTCAAAGTAAGCTGTCTGAGTGGCTCTCCATACGCAGAGTTGGGGAGAGCACTGCAGGCAGTTTTCTGAATATTGCGGGCCCCTTATATCCATTTTTGCAGGAGCTGTTTGGGATATTGATGGTGTGGTGATTTCCCCACTCAGCTACATCCTCCTGGAGAAGTCTGTATTCCCACAGGCTTTCCTTGCTGGCCTGGTGACATGACAGATGGAACATGGTGATACCCAAGCGGGGTTTATTTCATATTCAGTTCTAAAAGTTTCACTTGCTTCTTTAGGCAACCAACAGTGTGGATGAAGGTGTGTGTGTGTGGGGGGGGGAGGGACGATGTTTAAGAGGGAAAAGTGTTCCCAAAACAGTAGTGGAAGGACCCCCAGGAGAGGATGGCGGGCTAGATGGTGCGTTCAGGAGCCCCCCATCCCTTTGTAGAAATGTGTTACCCCAAACACAGGCCCCCTATAGGACTGAGTTCCCCACAGTTCTGCTGCCAAGTCACAAGTGAGTTCTTGAGTATTTTTGAAGAGAACAAAGAAGAAATAAAATACACTTGGGTGGTGATAAAGGAGGCCTATTAATACATCAACAGTCTTTTTCACAAAGCCCACGGGACCATTCCCACCAGACTAAACATCTTCTTATTCTACAGGCTGACGTGAGAGACTCACACGCTAGCTGTAAAGGCCTAGCCTCCCATCGCAGATACTGAGCTAAAGAGACTTTCCTTCTGATAGATCTCCCTTCAAATTTCGGTTACCACTTTCTATCCGTGTGACCTTGGACAAGTCATGCTCCCCTCTGGTCCTCAAATTTTACCTCTATAAAGTTGGATGAATAAACACCCTTCCCACACTGAAGACAAGAAAATTAAATCAGGATATGTGCCTGAAGAGTCTGGCAGGCTGTGCAAAGTAGGTGCTCAGTAAAGCCCAGCTTCCTTGTATAGCACGCCTCCCTCAGCCCAGCTGCCTAGTTGCCGGCCTGCTCCTTTCTCATGGCACCATCTCTCAGCCCATGGACAGCAGGCCCCTTCCCTCCACACCTGGACACCTTTGCTTTGCTCATTCTCCCCCATGCAAGCCCTTCTTCTCTGGTGTGGGCAGCCAGGCTGTGCTTTACTGGCACTCGGCCTGAGCAGTCTCACAGGGCCCCCAGCTTGGTGTGATGCTTTGTGATTTTATTATTAAAATGCTTCATGATTTTTTGAAGAAGGGCCTCGCATTTTCATTTGCACAGGGCCCTGAAAATTATGTAGCCAGCCCTGTTGGGAGGAGACCAACCTCTCCCCAAGGGACTGACAGAGCCCTCCATGTTGGCCCCTGGTGGATGCCTCTCTATAAACCAACCCAGCGGAAGGAAGCTGGTGTTTCTTCAGGTTCCCTGCTAGGTGCTCTGAAACACAGTGTGTCGTTAATCACTCTTTTCCTGATGAAAAATGGAGGCTTTGTCACTTTACTTGCCCTCAGCTGTGCAATTGGTAAATGGTGGGGTCTGATCAGGGTGCCTGCTGCCAAAGCTGTGCCTTAGGACCCTCTAACCTCACTGAATAAACTCAATCAATATTCATCCAGGAGTTACATATGCCAATGTGGTGGGAAGGGCTCGTTCTCCCATAACATAGTAAGATAGGCTTTGTATCGAAAAGTCCCCACAGGGAAAAACCTACCACATAATTTCTGAAGGGACTTCTCGGAGTAGGTCTCCCGGTCACACCCCTTCCCGATGTAATTGGTCTGCAGCTCTGTGGTGATCTGGATGGAGGACACGGCCCCGTCACATGTCTCCAGGTGGATGCTGGGGAACAAGGGCGCGCTCCCCGAGCCAGGCTGGTACTCAATCCTCTTGGCCCAGTCTGAATAAACAAGGAAGAGATGAAAGGGAGTCAGGTACAGCTGGCTCTGCTATGACACTTGTTTTGAATATGTGAATTTGTTCCAACACAACTGATATATTAGGGAATAATTTGAAGATAACAGGAATTTCACATCTGCTTATGCAAAATCGCCTCCCCCAGAAATACTAGGTGAGTGCAGGGAACTGCACCCAGCTGAAGCCAGCCATTTAGTAAGGCACAAAAAGCGGTGCACCTGTGCACGTCTCAAACACCTTCCAGCTACTGGGCTCACCAAGTGCTAGGGGCTGCACCCACCCGCCCCTGTGGCTACAACCTCACATCCCATTCGGACCACCCACCCGCCTTTCATCCACCACAGTAACACACAAGCTGCAACCCTTCGCACATCCCCCCCCCACCCCATGAGCAAAGGCCAAGCCTCTTCAAGGTAAAGTGCCCTATTTATTGTAGTACTTCTATGTTTCTTAGCCATTTAACCCGTGTAAAACTGTGTTCATGTTTTTTTCTTTCCCTCTTTTTATGTCACCGATGATGTTTTTGACTGCTGTGCTCCTTGCCCCACTTCCCCCATTTGGTCTAACGTGGTGATTTTTAGGAATGCATGTCTTATAAAACAAAGAACATGCCAATAGTTCAAGGACTACATGAGGTCATGAGGTAGGGTGCAATGCTTCTTTCCCAAACATTCGGGACTGTGACCTACTTAAGGAGGGCCCCACTTAAGGAGGGTCTTCATTGTTTTTAGTGGAAAAATAATTTGGAGATGAGAAAGCACTGGAGAGAAGTAAAATTAAAATTAAAACGGCACTGCATGAACACTGGAGTGAGTGTACACATTAACGGGTCGAAACAGCAAGACCAGCAGTTGGAAGTCGGAGCCAGGTCCAGGCACAGTTTGCAGTGACCGGTGACAGTGCCTGCCGACACAGTGAGTGTCCCACACCCTACAGGGATGCATGTCTGAGAGGTATGTGCCACCTAAGGCCAGCTTGTGGGTAGTAAAATGAGGGAATTGAATCATAAAGGAACATGGGTTATGGAAAGTATTAGTTTATGAATCTCAAATGTTTGTCACATATAATGTTGCCAGATATTCTCCTTTGTTGAAGTAGAAATAAAATCTATGGAACTGCTTGCCCTCACCTGTGAGAAATTCAGATAGTCCTGTATGTGAGTCAGTCTGCGGCCACCAGGGGCTTCGTCACAGGCTCCTGGGCCACTGGCCATCAGCTTGAGCTGTGCCATTAGAGTGGAGAGGGGTTGGTTTAGGGCCAGCCAGCCAGCTTTGTTCACTGAACAGCCATTTGTTGGGGGGTTTCCATGTACCAGGCTCTGCTTGGAGCATCATGGATAGAACAGTAAAGGAGTCAAGAAAGGTCCTCGCCTTGTGGAGCTGGGAGAGAGGCAGATGATGAATAAGGGTGTGCTGTCCTCTCAGAGAGGGTAAGTGCTACAGAAGAAAAAGGAGTCACGGAGATGGTGTCTTAGAGTAAGAGAGTTCCTGTCTGAGCTGAGGTTTGAATGTCAAGCACAAATGTGTGGGAAGCTTCAGAAAAGCTTGTCTGAAGCAGATGCAACCATAATCTGGGCTTGACTCTGTCAGGTCAGAAAGGTCTTGGGCAGGTTAGTGAAGGTCTCCAAGCCTCAGGTACCTCATCAGTAAAATAGGGGCCACTACACTGACCTTAGACAGAGTTGGGGTAGGGGCCAAGGGTGACAACATGAGCCTGGCAAGCAGCAGATTCCTGATTAGTGTTGTTCTGGGAGAGGCCAGGAGATGCATGGTCCACAGAGGCAGTATCCTTCTACACTGCAACCCTGCCACACGTTTGACGACCGTGTAATCTGGGTTTATCCCTGAACCCTCACATTAACCAGCTACTCTTTAAGGGGTTTTCTCAGGGTGCACCATGAGCAGAGGTTGCACACCAGGGTTGCGAGGTTCATCTCCAGGGAACTGGCCATGGGAAAATAGTTGGATGAGAGAGATTATATGTAAAAGAGAATATACCCAATTACGTGCTCTTCCTCAAAGCTCCCAGGAGCCGTGTCTGGACTGGCCTATCATCTCCCTATGGAGCTGCTATAGCCCATGCTCCAGAGGCCCCAAGTTCAGTCTTAAGGACAAACCACTGGAGGAGAGGAAGGCCTTTTGGAGGATGTATCTGAAAGTCATAATGCTGTAAGGTGCAGTCCACAAACACACACCCAGCCTTGCAGTGTGTCCTCCTTGTAGTGTGTGTCCTTGAAACGTTTTGTGCCGCTGTGCACGTGATCATGCTCTTCCTTCTGTGTGGGGCTCCCTGGCTGTCCCTTTCTGTTTTGTCATCTGTGTGACCTTTCAAGATTTTTGCAGTCTCGGTAGAAACCCTCCTCTGTGCTCTCACAGCATCCTAAACATTAGACTGTGGCATTAGACTCCAAGCTTCATGGTTACCCTGAGTCCCCGTGATGCCGCACAATGCCTGCACAAAGGAGACGCTCGCTAGATAGTTCTAGGAAGTGTTAATGAGTCCTACTGGATGTCATATTGAAATTAGCCATTTGTCTGCCTGCCTGCCTTCCCCAGTAACTGGAAACTCCTTGAAGGCAGGTTTTGTGACGTTTATTTTTGATCCTTCCACACCTGGCTCAGTGCACAGGAAATATCAGCCAGGTGAATCTGGGGATCCCCAGACACCTGACCTTCACTTCTGCCCTGGAAGCTCTTCTTGAGCCACAGACAGAACCCATGGCCTGTACACAGCCCCTCCCCTCAGGCCTACAGCACCATCCATCCCAACAGCTGCCCAGGACATGTCTGGTTCTCTTTGTTCTTAGCAGGGCAATTGATTCAGAATTGATGATGGAAGAATTTGCTTCCTAATAACAAGAACTGACATCAAGAAGGAGGTCTCTTTTCCTTCCCTCCTTCACTCCTCTCTTCTTGGATCCTCTCTTTCCGTGGAGATGCAGATAAAACGATAGAAACAGTGGTTTTGTGCACAGGGCCTTGGTATGAGCCCCAAATCACCAGCGCCTTACTGTATGGTTGCAATTTTGCCTGCTCCTCATAAACCCTCAAAAGCAAGCCTCATGAGGTCACCAAAGCAAGTGGCAGAAGTGTTGTTCCTAAAAACTCTTTTTGTGCCCGATTTCTCCCCAGGGAGGGCCTTGCTTCTCTAGCCATACAATGACAAAAGGAATAAAACTCTGCCTTAGCAGAGGCTCTCCTACTTCTTCCAGTGAGTAGATGTCCCACAACACCTCCTCTGGAAACCTCTCCTGTTGGAGACGCCCAGGACATGCTTGGTATCTATTCCCATTATTCTGTGGGCATTGCAAACATTTCTTTCTCCTCTACATATTTTGGTGGTTATCTTTGATAAAACTTCTACTTCAAATCCTTTTAAAAGAGGTGCAAATAAAGACGCAAATAAGTAATGAAGGAAAATCAGTAGAGGTAGCCTTAGTAGAATTTTATTTCTCTTGTCGCTGTATGGCTAGAGAAGCAAGGCCCTCTCTCTGGAGAGAAATGAGGCACAAACAGAGTTTCTAGGAACATCACTTCTGCCACTTGCTTTGATGACCTCATGAGGCTTGCCTTTGAGGGTTTATGAGGAGCAGGCAAAATTGCAACCATATAATAAAAGAAATCGATGAAGCTTTCTGAGAGTAGTATCCTTAAGAGAGTGGGAAACTCCTACAAACATCTTTCATTTGCCAAGAAGGAGTTGGGATGAGAATTAAGAAAGCAAAAGCAAGTCATCAAGTTCAGACTTTGCCATGTGAAATGTCAACCCATTCTTATTTCCTGAAGGGTAGGATAGCGTGCTAGTTAAAAGTATGCCCTCTAAATTCTGTATGTCTGCGTTCAAACCCCAGTCCTCCCACTTCCTGTGTCACTTTGGGCAAATCACTTACTCTGCTTGGTCCTCCATTTTCTCTCCTGTGAAAGTGGTACCTACCACACAGGGTATGTGGGAATTGAAAGCAGAGTTGTTTCAGTACCAAACACAAGGGACACGTAGAATAGGTATATCGTGGTTAAAATATAATTTGTTCAATAATATTTATGGTGGGAAATAAGAGGACCTGCAATTATTAAGCACTGACAAGGTGCTAAGCTCTTTTACATCTATTTTTTCATGTAATCCTCCCAGCAACCCAGTGAGTGGGTGTTATTATCTTAATTGCACAGCTGACAAAAACCATGGTGCGAGTTGATGTGACTTTGCCCAAGGCCACACAGCCCTTTTAAAATAACTCCTCCATAATTCTGAAGATTTGCCAGAGCTGAGAACAATGGTGATTTTTTACAGATTCAGTTCTGAACATTCGATTTACACTGATACAAAAGGAAAAGGTGAGCATATCTGATATTGGCAAAGGATCAAGAAGTGTTGCGTGTTTCATTACTGCTTGACTGTAAGGACAGTCTGCAGGGGCCGATGGCTGCTTTGACACCAAAAACAGGACAGATCTGGCCTTGAATTTCAACTCCTCTAAATGCAGGTCATGTGACCTTTGCAAAGCAATTATCATCTCTAGGCTTCCACTGCCTCATCTGTGGATTTGAGATAATTACACCTCCTCGTGGGCTTGGTGTGAGCAGTTAAGGTTAAGGGCTCAGCACAGAGGTCTTCCTCCTGACATCTCACAATAGGAGCATTCCACTCCGTGGTTCACAAGCTTCCCAAACTTCTCCAAGCTGTCTGGCTCGGAAACAAAGTCTTTTCAGTTTATAAAGGGCCTGGAGACTAGTTTGTGGATTGTGGTTCAATTTTTTTCTTTAGTGAAGAGAAAGGAAGAAGACCACCTATTGTTTTAATAATCAGGTTCAATTACCCTGTGTTTCTGAAAAAGTTAACATTGGAATGCCTTCAGGAACTAAAATCATCCTCTGTGGATTAAGGATTTAGGAACATGATGATTTTATTATAACTCCCATTAAATTTGGGGAACACTTGTTTTCTTACCAGGAGAATATTAACCACTCAGAATTCTCATATTAAACG